TTGTTTGGCCCTTACCCGAGAGGTGGTTTGGAGGTGGTTTTACTGGCTTTGGTTCCTACTCCTACCCATGAGACCTATTGGAGTTTCTTGAGTTTAATTTACCCCCTCTTGTTGAGTTTGAATCATTTGAATGATTGTAGATGGATCAAACTTGTTACTTTGAGAGATTGGCGATGTTTTGTACTCTCTTATGTATATCAAAACTTTTAGGGAATTGACTTGGGTTTGCCTTAGCCATGAGCCTCACTTGTTGGTCTTGGGTTTAACTTAGCTGTGAGCCTCACTTGTTGTTCCTTGGGTTTGCCTTAGCCGTGAGCCTCACTTGTTGTTCCTTGGGTTTGCCTTAGCCGTGAGCCTCCTCTGCTCCTGTGCCTTGGGTTTGCCTTAGCCGTGAGCTTCTTTTGGACTTGGGTTTGCCTTAGCCGTGAGCCTCACTTATTGTTTCTTGGGTTGCCTATGGCCATGGGCCTTAGCAGCTGTCCCTTGCTACCTTGATCGTGAGCCTTAGTGATTACCTCCCTTGTGGGTTGCTTTGGCCGAGAGTCTTAGCTGATGTTTCCCTATTCTATTTACCCTGGTGGTAAGCATTTATTTGGTTATATGGAAAGATTTTATGCTTATTTGATACATGAGGCTATTGATTAAGCATGCCTCCCATTTTTACATACTATTACCATTTTATATTATATAGCTTTAAGCATGTCTCTCTTTTTTACATAGGACCTTTAGAGGACTATTACCAAAGGGTCGTTTAATTTGTCATCGTAACTGGACACCCTAAAAAACTTAAACTCGTCACGGCAAGGAGCTTGGAGCTAGCGCAGTGGGCAGCACGACCATCATCAACAGCAGAACATGTCTTCCCCAGCTAAGCCATTCCTTTCTTAGAATCTTAGAAATTAAACAACAAGCCATAGGATTTCGAGGTAGTCTGCTTAGCGCGAAATAAATCCTCACTTTATCTGTTAGGCCTTTGCACAGTCAGACTGTGCAATGTAAGCCCTAACTTGTTCTAGGTTCCGAGGTTGTCGTCCGATACGACGTAAACCCTCATATCTTCTAGGCGATTTATGTGACCGTGTCACGCAAGTATAAGTCCTAATTAAATAAAATTGGCAAGATGAAACACCTGAATAATTTCTTCTCAAAACTGAAGCCAAACCATAGGATAGACTGGGAAGTCACCGAGGTTCGCCTCCGGAT